AATGCATGGGCACCAGCACGTCTTGCAACCTGTGAAAAAATGAAAAGAGTTTGTCAAATATTTGAGAATAATTACATCGTTGGTTCTTCTAATTTGAGTATATTTTATTTTATTTCTCATAATTTTAGTTTCATCAATTTAAGTTCCACACTTTCAATTGCATTTTAATATGGTGGCTTCGTCACTTGTTAGCATTTTAGATGGAAAAAAAAAAATTGCAGGCAACCACCGTGAAAATTTCAACACTTCCCGCAAAAGCAAGAAAAATAAATAATGCACTAGTGGTATTATTGTTGGGATCGGAGATCCCGCCTAAGACCTTTTAAAAATTATACCAAGGAGAAAAAACACACTCACACTCAAGGAGACATCATATTTAATGTGGTTCGGCCTCAATACTTACGTCCACGGAAGAGTAGCTGGTTATCACTATAACAATGGAGAGATTACAGAAAGATTACAATAGAGAAGGAGCTCACACTCTTCTCACACACCCGCTCATCTGTCCCCCTCACTCACACCGAGAGAGACGGTCTCTCCGCCTCACACCTCTCACTCTCTTTGGTTTGCTCTATCTCTCTCATTTCCCTGTGCTCTCACCCTCTCCATTACCCTCTCCATTTATACACATGAAGATGGAAGAATGGTGGAGAGTCATAGTAGGCCTTGCATATGGCCAGCTTATTCCTTCACATGGCCAGCTCACCTTTGTGACTTTGTAGGTTGAAAGGAGCTGCAGCACATGGAGAAGAGAATCACCCCTCACATGGGTGATATCTAACAAATCACCCCCTCAATCCATGTGAGGTGATCCACTGTACACACTGTTGCTAATCTTGTCACACTCAAAAAATTTCAGCATAGTCAGCTTCTCCTCACTGAGATGTTTGCACCCCCTGCAGTTAGAAATAATAAACCAGAGATATAAGAGGAGGAGGGAATCCTACATCCTTAACTCAACTCACACTACTCTTTGATTTGGAGAGAGCCTCTGCTCATATCTTCCACAAATCTCTTTCACGCTTCCTGTCTCGGATGTTTTCACTTGCTGTGCTTGAACTTGCATAACCAAGATATTCCTGATTGGATGTCCTACACCCCCTACTAGGATGCCATTGACTGTTATGCATTACCTCGCAAGACCAGTCATTGGATCAATAGAAAACTTGTTGTTTATCCCATCAACATCTTCTGTCTTCTTTGCTCGAAGCTTTTCCTCTAAACTATTAGCATTTGCCATCTACACTTCTGAACAACCTCCTAGCGTTTCCATACGCTCGTCGTCTGTGCCTTTGTAATCCCTGATTTGCTGTCCAGTAGATTGATGGTTGACAGTAGCTCCATCTGTCAATGCATTGTCAGCTATGCAATTCCTTGCATAGTGCTCACACCCATGGCTTCTGGTCTCCCTGCGTCGAGCTCACCTGAGTGATCCGCATCAACTCTATCCTCCACTGCCATGGAACTCAAGAAACCACCATAGTGAAAAAAAAGACTTACCACTCTTTGGCGCGCACTCTTGCGTTTTATCTGTCTTAATTTATATGTCTAGAAGTTCCTGTGAACTTTCAACAACCCGTTGCTACACACTCTTCTTGCGTCTTCTCTGCACTGTATATCTGCACCTTGTACAACACTCTTACGTACTCACTCGTGCTTTTGTACCTCTATACTTGCGCTTAGTATGCTCCTCTGCAACTATTGTTCTACACGTCCACGTACTACTAGTACCTACTCATATACTGTAGCTCCAACAGCCACAACATTTCCCTGAGCCTAAACTGGCTGCCAAATCATCTATCTGTCGATGAATGGTCTTCTCTTCTGATTGAACTAGATTTTTCGATGAACTTCGGAGATAATCATCTCTACAATCCTCTGAACGCCCCTAACCAATCCAGATCTCCCTCAATTCGCCATTTGATCAAGCCTGGTCTCTTTTGGTCTTCAATGATCTATCTCAATCTGTATCTGGTTGTCCAATCCGGTCAGAATCTGCCCATTCTGACCTCTTCAGTGAATCCGCAGCGTTCCACAATATCCGGCAACCTTCCTTCGACTATTGAAGATGACAAACTCTCATGTTTTGACAATCTTTAAAAAAAAAAATTCAGAATTTCACTATTCTGACCTCGTGGTTGCGTCCGGAGCAGTCCGTTTAGTTAGGACCAACTTTCGTTGCACTTCCGAGGACCTCACTGAAAAACATCCCCGAAAGGTGGGCCACACTACAATTTTCTAAAAATTCTAGGCCAAATTGCAATATTCAGAAGTTCAGGAAATATTTCATGTTCCAATAGAATATTCCGCCCACTGCACCTGACGCTAGCTACCACTTTGATCTTCCTTCTTTTTGCAACAACTCCAACTCAAAAAATCTGACTGTACGGATGTGTCCGAAATACTCCAAATAATTGGAAAGCACTATTGGATTGCCAAAAACGGACTTCGAATGGCTTAGATCAAGCCAAAACATTTTGTACAACTGAAATATGTGGCTACACCTTAGCCGCGCACCACTGGATAGCTCCTCTGTGATGAAGTAACAGATGACGTGGCATGATCATACTGGCGTGGTGCTGATTGGACTGCCACATGTCGATGACGTGGACAACACGTGTCGATGCCTGGACGGCCACATGGTGATGACGTGGATAACACATGTCACTGACGTGGCTCTGACGTGGCGCCACGTGGTATGGGCGTTTCTTACACGCGCTCCCTCACTCATCTTCTTCCTTCCGCCGCGCGTGGGGCTTGTGCACGCGACTGGGCCGCTGCTCCGTTTTGTCTGGTTTTTCTATATCTGGACTCCTCTCCTCTAGGGCTTCCTCCTGGTATGCACGAAAATGGATTTCTGTTACTTCGAAATCTGGGCACTTTTGAAAAAAAATCGATTTTTCACCACCCGAGCTCTGATACCACTTGTTGGGATTGGGAATCCCGCCCAAGACCTTCTAGAAATTATACCAAGCAAAAAAAAACACATCCACACTCAAGGAGACACCATATTTAACGTGGTTCGACCTCAATGCTTACGTCCAAGGGAGGGTAGCCGGTTATCACTATAACAATGGAGAGATTACAGAAAGATTACAATAGAGGAGGAGCTCACACTCTTCTCACTCACCCACTTATCCGTCTCCTTTGCTCACACTAAGAGAGACGGTCTCTCCGCCTTACATCTCTCACTCTCTTTGGTTTGCTCTATCTCTCCCATTTCCCTCTGCTCTCACCCTCTCCATTTATACACATGAAAATGAAGGAATGGTAGAGAGTCATAGCTGGCCTTGTACATGGCCAACTTATTCCTTCACATGGCCAGCTCACCTTTGTGACTTTGTACATTGGAAGAAGCTGCAACACATGGAGAAGAGAATCACCCCTCACATGGGGTGATATCTAACAACTATAGCTTCTTACAAATTTTATTTTGGTCGGCAATTGACTTAAGGATAACATTGAAATAAAATTAGAGGTGTAGGGTTTAAATTTATGAAACTAAAATTATGAAGACTAAAATAAAAATTTCATTGAAACTAGAAGAACCAACAATGTAATTTACTTAAATATTGCATTTTAACAAAAAATAAAAATAAAAATAGTGACAAATATAAGAATAAGAAAAGCATAAAGAAATTGTTGTGATTCCACACATTTAGTTTATGTCCACGGACACAAAATTTGATTAAATACATAAGGGGCGAATTTTATTTTATACCTCTGTATTTTATACTTAATTATACTCGTAACTCGTCAATTATTCTAGTCAATCCTCTAAATTTTGAGTCAAATTGTGATTGGTTGTAGTTTCATGACGTCATTTCAAAAACTAACTCAAGTATTAAAGTGAAAAGACTAAAGTTGAATTTGGTGTAAACACAAAAATTCTATTTCTACACACTATTTTTTTTTATTAGCAAAAAAAAGGAACTTTTATTGATGAAAAACCATACAAGATATGAGATTACATCAAATAAAGGAGGGGAAGAGCAGCAAGCATCATAGCAAACTAACACAATCCCAACTAGGTTGGCACCGAGAAGAGAGCCCAATCATCTGCAAGCTCAACCCCACTAATTTTTCTTATTGTACATACTTAATGAATACTTTCTCAGTATGCACATCAAAAGAATAAAACTTGTCATTGCACATCTCTTTATTTCAATAATGTCATCATCTTCAATTTTAAAATCTTAAATTTTTTTTTTCCATCCATCCACCCACCCTTACTTTGTCGCCATTACTGCCACTCTCAACCCTCTATTACATTACTATTGCCACTCCCAGCTTATCTCCTTCCATCCTAAACATCAACAGTCAATCTCAAAAGTTGGTGGTTCGCGGCAGAGGACTTGTGAGAGTTTATAGTTCATGGCAGAAGGTAATCGCAAGTGGAGATAGAAAAAGGCAACATGAGGGGGATGGAGTAAGAAAGAGGTTGCAATAGCAACGGAGGATGGTTGTGTTTTAAAATTAGGGTTTGGGTAGAAGAAGATAAAGGTGTTATGATAATTTTATTCTTAGACAAAATTGTAATTCCGAAAATTTTTATTAAGTGTATGAATTAAGAAGAATTAATGTGTCAAAATAAAACCATCCTAAGAACTACGAGGAACTAAAGTGGTATTTTAATAAAAGCATAAAAGTGCTAAGCACAACTACTATTATTATGTGGGATTTTTTTTTTATTTTTTTTATTTTTTTAAACTGGAATATTATCATGTGGTTGTTATTTATTAATTATCAAAACGGTGCTATACAAGACCTAATTGCTTTGACTCAAAGTCTGAAGGGTTGGTTGAAATAATTAAAATGTCAAACGATAAAGTGAGATTGAAGGTAAAATATAAGGGTGCGAAGTGAAATTATTCTAACATAAATCATGCAAGGGTTCATCAATGATTGAACCATAATCATAAGATTTATGTTCAATGATTGGATTGATCGATGGATCATGGTTAGACAGTTTTAGAGTGATGATGTTCTAGTGTACTTACAGTTGGGTACATCATCAAAGCAGCCAAAGAGGCCGGTGGACCAAGGGACCTCCTCGTCGGGTTGAGTTCGAATTGGATCATCAGAGCTTAGTGAAGGAGGAGCTGAGTATTTGTGAATGGTAGTGTAGTTTGTGGAGCTCATGATTCACCAATGGAGTTTTTGGGATATGGAGATGGATGGGCAGCCCACGAAGAATATATATATATACAGGGATGGATCTAGGGGCCGATGACTGCAGACAAAAGTTTTGGAAAAAATTATAATATTATACTAGTAATTAATTTGTAGAAAATCCCGATAATATAAGATTTTGTAACCTCAAATTTGTATGTGTTATTACCCATAAGGCTATAGGAATTTGCTTCCATAAATTAACTATATTTACGAAAATCTAAAATTAGTTCTACTAATTAAATTTTATTAAATATTAGTTCCTGTTTTTATTTATTTTTTTCCTAGAATAAACTTTTTTGTTTAATATATGTACTATTGATTATATATATATATATATATATATTATCATGAGTTGCTCGACTTTAATAATAATAATAATAATAATAAATAAATAAATAAATAAATAAACAGTTCCACTTTGATTAATTTAACAGTCTCACCTTGCATTGATTCAGTCTCACCTTTATTTTTAATTTACTAATATTAGAAATCCGAGAAGTGATTCATTGAAGTTTTCTATTATCATGAACAAATTTCGGACACAACTTTAAAGGGTAATTACAATTTAGTGAAATCTTTATAAAATAATTACATCTTTATGAAAAACTTGAAGAGTTTAATTAATCAATAACTTCAATATACCACCTCATGTGTCAATCCATTATTAGTGTAATAGGTCTCACTATTCATATTTATGCCAAATTATATGCTAATATATGGGGTGATACGTTAAAAGTGATATAATAAGGTGGTAAGTGTAACATTTGTCTATATTGCTATACTTTTCATTCATCAAAAAAGTTTCTTTTTGCCGATGTTAATAATTTAAAAAACAAAAAAAAATGTAGCATTTGTGTATAAATTTTACCATTAATTTAAAATTATTTTGTGAAAATTTCACTAACTTATGATTTTTCCAACTTTAAATGTCCAACTTTAATTGATAGAGACACGTAACAATAATTTGTTTTTTCTTTATAACTTAATGCAAACAATAGAATATCTTCAACTATAGGATAATTTTCTTACACTCAAATATGTTGACAAATAATGTTTATTTCATGGTAATATTATTAAATTTTATGATGATAGAAATTAATAGGATATTTAAAAAATATATATAAATTTTATTAATTGGGAATTACATATATTTGAGTAATGTTACGTTTAATAAAATAATAATATCACGAAAATCTTCTCCACTCTTTGATTAGTTTATGATATTTTATTATATGTTATATAATTATATACGCTAAGTTACATTCTATCAATTATAGAACACTATAAAGCCCCGTTTGTTTTCAGATGTAGAATAGAAAGAATTGATAGTAATGAGATTAATATTGAGGGAATTGATAGTGAGGAGATTAAGTAAAATTGTATTTGTTTTGATGATAATTATTAGTGTGGAGATTGTTAAATTATTACCCTATAAAAAAAATATAAAATATTAAAACAAATAAAATTATGATTTTTACGTAACCAAAAATACAAAAACATTAAACATTAATATTAAAAAAAAAAAAAAAGCCTAAGCGAAATGACTAATTTCCTAATACAACTCCACCTCCTCCATCCCAATCCCAGCACCAAGGTCCATCTTAATCCCATGGGATTATGAATCCTATCTCCATCTCCCAAAATAAAGGGTAATCTACAAATCGGTTTTGCTTTTTTGAGTTATTACCTATTAGGTACTAGCTTATATTTTTATGTACCATTAAGTCTTATTATAATTTTCTTTCTCATTTTTGGCTGCTTCTTGTTTTTTTTTTTTTTTTTCTTCTTTCTAGTTTCCCGTTTTGTTTTTGAACTCCAAATTGCGAACCACGATTTGGCCACCAACTGACAGCCAGCGACCACCTCTGACCTTAATTCCGCAACCATTACTGACCTCTGGCAACTACCTCCGACCTCTGACAATATTTTTTTCTGCCATTTTTTATCTCCGACACATCACTACCGCAACCACCTACTCAAATCCGGTGGTGATGAGAGAAAAACAAAAAAAAAAATGAAGAGAATGAAGGAGAGATATGCGAAGCCATTATCGGAGAATAATTATTATCATTTTACGTTGTCACAAATCAAGAAAAAAAATCAAAAGTCAGATTCAGTGATAAATTTGTCATGTAACAAATCTCAGCCAGAGTTGTAGTGATAAATTTATCACTGTTGAATTTGCTAAAAAATTTATAAATAGCAAACTTGATTTGAGAGAGAGAGGGGCATCGCAACATTCTATTATGAAGCATTGATAAATTTATTTATTTTGTATATGCTATGTCATTCCATTGATAAAATATCCACACACTACAAGAAAATGCAGCTTTGGCGACTAAAAAATGAATTTTCGTCGCTGAAAGTAGCACAATCGGCGACTAAAATGAAATTAGTCGCCAAAAGTGAACACTTTTGGCGACTAAAACAATTTAGTAGCCAAATGCATAGTTATTGGCGACTAAAATCAATTTCGTAGCCAAAAGTAGGGGTTTTGGCGACTAAAATTCAGTTTAGTCGCCAAAAGTGCAGATTTTTTGCTACTAAAAAAAATTAGTAGCTAAAAGGAGGGGTTTTGCCGACTAAACCCGACTTTAGTCGCCAAAAGTGCTGTTTTTGGCTACTAAAAAAAAATTAGTAGCTAAAAGGAGGGGTTTTGCCGACTAAACCTGTTTTGATGATAATTGTTAGTGTAGAGATTGTTAAATTATTACCCTATAAAAGAAATATAAAATATTAAAACAAATAAAATTATGATTTTTACGTAACAAAAAATACAAAAACATTAAACATTAATGTTAAAAAAAAAAAAAAAAAAAAATAAAAATAAAAATAAAAAAACCTGAGCCAAATGACTAATTTCCTAATACCACTACACCTCCTCCATCTCAATCCCAACACCAAGGTCTATCCTAATCCCATGGGATTATGAATCCTCTCTTCATCTCCCAAAACAAAGGGTAATCTACAAATCGGTCTTGCTTTTTTGAGTTATTACCTATTAGGTACTAGCTTATATTTTTATGTACCATTAAGTCCTATTATAATTTTCTTTCTCATTTTTGGCTAGTTATTGTTGTTTTTTTTTTTTTTTTTTCTAGTTTCCCGTTTTGTTTTTGAACTCCAAATTGTGAACCACGATTTGGCCACCAATTGACAGCCAACGACCACCTCGGACCTTAATTCCGCAACCATTACTGAACTCTGGCAACTACCTCCGACCTCTGACAATATTTTTTTCTGCCATTTTTTATGTCCAACACATCACCACCGCAACCACCTACTCAAATCCGATGGTGATGAGAGAAAAACAAAAAAAAAAAAAATGAAGAGAATGAAGGAGAGATATGCGAAGCCATTATCGAAGAATAATTATTATTATTTTACGTTGTCACAAATCAAGAAAAAAAATCAAAATTCAGATTCAGTGATAAATTTGTCATGTAACAAATCTCAGCCAGAGTTGTAATGATAAATTTATCACTGTTGAATTTGCTAAAAAATTTATAAATAGCAAACTTGATTTGAGAGAGAGAGGGGCATCACACCATTCTATTATGAAGCATTGATAAATTTATTTATTTTGTATATGCTATGTCATTCCATTGATAAAATATCCACACTTACACCTACAAATCTTTAATTTGATAAATTTATCATTCATAAATTACTAAGTGGTTGAATTAAGTAACAAATTTATTAGATTAGTTACACGTCTGTAGAAGATTAATAATACCTTTCAATGCACTGATTGGATACTTTGCATCCCAAACTAGTGATGGGGGACAATGGTGGCAACAAAGATGTCGAAGATGGTTGATCGATAATGGAGACAGATGGTGGCAACGACGATGTCGAAGATGGTAGATCAATGATAGAGGATTGCAGTGTTAAAACTAGCAGATGAATGGTGGGAGAAGGAGGAGCGGTAATGGCAACGAGGGAGAAGGACAGTGGTGTTTGGTGAGGGATGAGGAGAATGATGGCGTTAGTTGAGGCGAGTGTTGTTGACAATGATAGATGAAGAGGGTGGTCAAGCCGAGCGACATATATGTTGATGAAAGAGGAGGAGATGGTGTGCTAGTAACAAAAATAGGAGGGGGAGAGAGAGAGAGAGAGAGATGTGTTTGGGTTTATGATAAAATCACTCAATTGAATGCAAGGGATAGAAATGGAAGATGGGCTAAATTATATTGGGTCCGGACTTCCTAGGAATTAAGTCCGGTCCAAAGGACCAGTCCGTAACTCTCCCAAAACAAACACAACATATAATGAGTTCCATTTCCATTTTCATCTTAATCTCATTCTCACATCTATCTTCCAAAACAACCGGAACCTAAGATAAAACTAAGTTTATATTATTTGCAAACTGAGATTTAAAATTAAAACATATTTATGTCAAGATAAATCATTTTTCTTATTTTATAACTTACCACATTAGATTATTTTTAAACAATTCATAAATTTTTTTATAATATTTCTTTCATCAAATCTAACACTACTCTATATATACTTCCGCCCGTGTATAAGCCAAACAAAATTGTTTAGATAAGAATATAATTGCAGTCTTCAAATTAATGTTATTGGAGAATGTTTGGAAGGAAGGAAAGTTAAAAAATCTGGTGCCAGCTATGCAAGTGTCTAAACGTCCTTGGAATCGTTTATTTCAAGGCAATGGTCCGTTTTGGGGGTAATTTCAAGGCCGGCTGTAGACTAACAAGGCTGTCTTTTTGTAGATATTTTAGAAAAGGCGGCTGCGAGGTGGTAATAAGGCTGCTGAGGTGTTGGGTCGCATGGCGGGTAGTGTGATATGTGTTGCGAGTGTGGATGGAAGATCTGCATTCAGAATTATTCCATGTGAGTCTATTTAGTTCTGCTTCTTTATCTTTCTTTAAAAAAAAATAATAAAAATATACTGCGTTCTCATCACAAATTGTCACTTAAATTATTGATATTATATTTTAAATTTTTTTAAATAACCATTTTCTCATTT